GGAGCACACCTCGCCAACAGGACGGCATCAGGGTTATGGAGCCAACAAGAGAGCAAACTACACATAAACTTGCTAGAAATGCAAGCAGTAGTAAACGCCATACATCATTGGAGCAACTTACTAAAGAATGCCAAATTGATGATTCACACAGACAATTCAACAGTGGCGTTTTATGTGAACAAACAAGGCTCAACCAGGTCCCCGAACCTATTGACTCTATGTTTTCAATTGTTCGATCTAATAGACAATCTCAACATACATGTCAGAGCATGTCACATTCCAGGAGCAAAGAATGTAATAGCAGAGGCTCTCTCTCGCCCACACCTACCATCGCCGACAGAATGGATGCTCCATACAGAGATATTCGCAGAAATTATCAAGAAAATAGGAGCTCCACTAATAGACCTATTTGCCACTCGCCTTCAACAATCAGCTGACAACATTACATTATCACCAGTCCCAGACCCACTAGCATGGGCAACGGGCGCACTAATCATATCGTGGGAAGGACTCAACGCATACGCGTTCCCGCCGCCAGCGTTAATCCCACAGGTGTTACAGAAAATCAAGCAAACTCGGAGCCTCCAAATGATTTTGGTCACGCCCTACTGGCCAGCGAGAACGTGGTTTCCAACTCTTATTCAAGAAATCGGACATCCAATACTACAACTTCCAAAGCGCCGAATCTACTAATACATCCTCACACCAAACAAGCATCGGAAAGCCAGAAGCATTCCAACTTCACGTATGGACTGTATTAAAGGCGTCTAAACAAGAGAGGTTATTCAGCCAGAGCGAAGCGAAAGCAGTCACGCTTTGCCTTAACTCCACTTTCCACTCGCAACTGCGATGACAAGTGGCACAGTTTTGAAAATGATGCTGCAAAGAAAGGATTTACAGGTAGAAATGCTACACATCCACAAGTGGCTGACTACTTATGTTACCTACGTCAGACTAAACGTCTAAAAGGCTCAACATTATCAACATATCTCGCAGCTTTAAGCTCTGTCATAACTATGAGAACGGGTGTCAAGCTGACGAAGACCCCAGAGTTACTCGCCTTACTACATGCATTCCGATTGGAGGATCAGAAACAGAGGTTTGGCTCCAGCATGGGATCTAAATATAGTGCTCAACACCTCACAAGTGAGGCATATGAACCACTGGAATCAACATCATTCAATTTCTGACACAGAAAACTTTGTTCTTGTTATCCCTAGCAACAGCAGCCAGGATGTCAGAGATTCACGCACTAGATTACGAGAGAACACGCTTTGATGACAATCATAACATCGTGCATATGGGACTACGCTGGGATTTCATCGCCAAGAACCAGTTGCCAGGTCAACCAGACAGATTATTCCACGTCCCAGCTCTCTCATCAATTCTCGGACCTCATGATACACTGGATCTATCATTATGCCCAGTCAGAGCACTGAAAATATATCTACGACGTTCCAATCCGAGGCGACATAAACTCAAACGATTATTCATCCCTCTATCAACAGCTACACAGACTGAAGTCTCAAGTACAACTATCTCGATATGGATCAGGACTGTCATACTACGTGCCTACAAGGCTGCAGGACTCGACCCTCCAAGAGCATCTAATCCACATGAAATTAGAGCGCTAGCTTCAACACTTGCTCTACACGGCAATTGCTCTTTGAATACCATCATGGAGGGCTGCTTCTTGAGATCTGATATGGTGTTTGCCAACCACTATCTGAGAGATATCACCACCGAGGACGTCTCAGGCATTCACCATTTCGGTCCCATGGTTCTCGCTCAGCAGCTGACAGTCCCTCGGAGAAGATAAGTCAATCTTACGAGATTTTTACTGCTTATTTCACAACAGTACTATATAGCTAATAACTCCATGAAGTTTATGCTATTATATATTTTAGCTTAAGTTCAATCACAATCTTAAGCTCAGTACTATGTTTATTATATCATAATAATATCATTAGCTAACAACTCTATGAAGTTTATGCTATTATATTATCAAGCTTAAGTCTATCTTAGTCTTAAGCATAGTATTCATGTTGTAAATACTTTATTTATGTTTATCATAATATATATATATTGTAGTAACCCATATATGGCAGCTGATAAGTTTTACAGCAGGAATTTATCAATTCAGTGCCTTTATGAAGTTCCCATAGGGGTTATTACAGTTATTATAGTTATCAAATCACTAATTATCTAAATCCAAAGTATTCTGTATTCCCACCTCCGTATCCGTAGGATTCTACAAGCAAAAGAGCATGAGTCTGGATAAGGAAAAATATGTAATTTTCTGAATAAAATTGATATTTTATACTTATCCTGACTCATGAGGTAAGCCCTCCCATCCTCCTTACATAACACTTTGGATTTCCCTGAAAATTCAAGTGTTGGGCTCGCTATATAAGGAGAGAGTGAGGCATGTGGCGGGAAGTGGCGCCCTCGTTCACGCGCAAAGGAGTGGGATAGAGATAACTCTTGGTGAGTACTAATTAGTGATTTTACATTGAAGGGAGCTTCAATTGGGAGATACAAGTGTTCCACTGTGTTCTCAAGAAGAAGAAGACAAGCAAAAGAGCATGAGTCAGGATAAGCATAAAATATCAATTTTATTCAGAAAATTACATATTTTCTGAGTGATTTATAAACATTTTGCATCTTGGTGGACAGCATGATTTTTGTTGTGGTGATATTCAATACACTGCAACAGCGTACAATGCATGTGAAATGTCATACCTGCAACATTGTTGAAATCTTGGTGTTACTGATAACATGTCACCCTCTCACCTTCAATTTAGATTGAATATTCAGTACCGTAAGACAACAATAAAAGAAGATGGAGCATTGTCGAGACTTGATAGATGCCGTTCATGGGACTCAAGCACATCATTAATGCCACTGGTTACCAGAGAGAGCCATTTCCTGCAGAGCTGTGAGAAATCAACTGAAAGACCCATCAAGTGTATTAAACTTGCTCCAGCTCACAAAGCAGGACTTGCCTGGTGTAATCAACATGTTCCCTAAAACTTGTATCATGGCAGAGGGTTCCGATGATAGTCTTTTTTTTATTGCATGTGTGGATGGTCATATACGTGTCTGGAGACAAAGGAGCACAGCTATGGTTCCCTGCAATATCCAGGAGACAGTTCTCTTGGGGGGAGGGTCAATCATGGTATGGCGATTCATTTGCTTGGGTTGCAAGATGGACCTTAATGGGCCTTGGTATCAAAAGGAGATCCTAGAGAGGGCTGTTGTCCAACATTTTGATAGCCATTGTCTAGCCACAAGACCCATCTTTATGGATGACAAAGCCAGGGCCCCGTTCCACACGCTATCGTAGTGCTGCGACTGCTGTAAGTCTATGTTACAGTATAGGAGGTACAACAGTCATAGCGCTACGATAGCTTTGTGAAACGGGCCCAGGCCTGAACAAGCACATGCTGTCACCCAGTTTTTGTAACCGAATGCTGTTGAGCCCATCCCATGGCCAGCCATGAGTCCAACATGTTATACACTGTTGTGTACTTCAGCTTCAATATGGACCTGGAACAAGTCCTTGTGATCTTGATATCTCTGACATTGACTAGCATGTTCATGACAGTTATGGTCACATGATTTATCTCATCATTTGTTTTTTATGCAATGTATGATTTGTTTTCATTCTTGGTGGAACAAACTGAGTTTAGTGCATCATCATATATCATTATTATCTTGCAACTGTATTGTAACAAATGATGAAAATGTACTGCGTGTGATTAATCTTTAATACAGTTTGATCAACTCCTATAAAAGGATACATTTAAGAGCGTAGTTTTATTTTGTGAGATTTGAATAATAAATCTACAATATTTTCGACATATTTGATATTTTGTGAAGCACTAAGCTGTTTTATAAAAATTATGCCAAAGTTGTGCAATATTTGAAATACAAAAACACCAACCTTTGTTTACTCATGATGGTTTGTCATGCATACAATGTCTACCATTAGTTCATACGATCTTCAGAGTCAGGCACCTGATCGCCAGCACGCAATGGCAGCCATCTAACCCACTGCAGCTTCTGCCCTGAGTGGGTTCAATGGCTTACTTTGTGTGCTGGCAAATAGGCACCTTACTTTGAGATTGTGGTTTCAAATCAACCCAACAAAAGTACTAGAATCTGTACTTTGCTGAGAAAGTTTAATCCCAAATATAACATGTTACATATCGCCACTTTCTGAATGACATTGTGTATTCATAGCTAAAATATTACCATAATTAGAATGAAATGTTCCACCGACAACCGGCTTTAAACCAAAGCTAAATCATTCCTGATTGTGAAAAATCACATCCATTCAGTTGCCAGAGCTGCACCACATTTTCTCCATTTTGGGCGTCTGGCTTCCAGACAATTAGTGTACCAGCAAAACATTTGCAGCATGAGAGCAACGATATGGATTTACCTGTCACTGTGTTTACAATACCCTGCCTAGTTTCTCACCACATATGGCTGCAAAACTACTGATGCTGCTCAAAGCAATATTCACTCACTTCTTGTCTAGTTAAACCATCAATTTATCCTTGAAGAGAGACCTAACTGCGTCTGACACTTCTCAAACAACTCTGGTTTATATCTCTAAAATGCAGTAAGTTTTCTGTTAAACGTGTTACCTACAGCATAGTTAATTCAGTGGTATAGCTATATCTGAAAATTCAGTTTCAATTATAAGCCATGGACACAATTACAGTGAGTGAGTGAGTTATTGAGTTTAGTTTTACACCGCACTCAGCAATATTCCAGCTATATGGCAGCGGTCTGTAAACAATCGAGTCTGGACCAGACAATCCAGTGATCAACAGCATGAGCATCGATCTGTGCAATTGGGAACCGATGACGTGTAAACCAAGCCAGCGAATCTGACCACCCGATCCCGTTATTCACCTCTTACAAGAATGGGTTACTGAAGATCAATTCTAACCTGGACCTTCATGGGTAACAATAACATCAGATAACAATGGCAAGTAACCAAAAGTTTATTTGGAATGTAACAAGTTTGATGAGAACTTCCATGATAAGGACAGGATTGATCAGAACTCCACATGTGCCACTCTGCGTTCTACCTCGTGTGATGTCACATACTCTCCAACCTGGTTCCTCTTTATTCTTTGGTGTGGCAAACTTATTGTCCTGGACACTGTTCGTTCAACTTCATCTTCAAAGACAACCTGAAAGCAAGGAGGTGTTAGCAACTACCTTTTTCTACCAGTTATGGTACTGGTATGGTGCAATGTGGCTCTGAAATTGTGACAAAATGCCATGCTGGTATTTGTTGGGAATTTCAAGAACCAAATAACAATTTCTTATATAAAGCTGGGGATGCCACAGAGAGTTGAAGTAAAAGCTTAATGTTATTCTAGGTGATGACAAATTTACTTTTGATAACATATACTGAACCACAAAAGAAACATAGCTTTTCAAAACCAAATGCAAGGTCTTGTTCTTACAAAATGGTGTTTTTATTATGATTGTACATGTTTTGTTTTTCAATCCAAATTGACAGTTATTACCAACATCAGTGTGTTTCCTGAGGAAAAAGCATACATCGACCAAAAGCACCTAAATAGGCAGACGTGGTAAGAGGTTCCGTATGACATTCATGAAAATGAAAATGCATGTGCATATAGTGACAATCCTACCAATGACAGCGAGTCCCAAACTCGCCTGAAATCATTTTTGTTTTGACACAATCATCATGGTATGAATTACGAGAGATCAGAGGAACCAAGACTTTGGACGATTGCAAGTTGACCAGACTGCCAATCATTTTAATGTTCATGTTAGGACAATCTACCGACTGCAGGAGTGGTATCAGGTCACTAACAGCATCCAAGACCGCCCACGCAGTGGGTGACCTTCAGTAACATCACAATGTCAAGACCAACAGATTGTGCGCCACCATCTGCAGGGTCGCTTCCGCAGAGCGACGGAAACAGCACACCAGACCATTGGGACTCACAATAGAACCATCAGTGCCGATACAATGCGTCAGCGTTTGAGCAGAAGAAACCTCTGCTGTCACAGACCATATCGTAGTCCTGTCCTCACCAGGACTACGCCAAAACCGACTCCAATGGGCAACTCAGCATCGGAATTGGCATTATCGACAATGGAGAACTGTGTTTTTTTCTCATGAAAGTCGATATTGTGTTCGACAGTCAATGGCAGAGTTAGAGTATGGTGAAGGTGTGGGGAACTGTTTTCCAATGAGTGTATTGCTGAAAGAGACTCGTGGGGTGGTCCAAACATCATGGTGTGGGGTTCAATCGGTCTGAACCAGATAGCTGGCACCATGGTGTTCCAGAATCTCGGTCCAGGATGAGGAAATGACGTGACAGTTGCTCGCTATATTGACCAAGTCATAAAACCCCACGTTGTACAACATTTTGGTTATTGCGTGTTTATGGCCACATCTGAAAGACATAGATTTTCCTAAAATTGTAGATATCCTCATAGGCATGGACAGTGCAGATCTTCATTATTCCTACTCCGATGTATGTGGAAATACAGGCGAACCTCTTGCAAGGTTTACTTCTCTTGACTGGACCTGTATTGGAAATATTGCAGGGACAAGCTCTAACATTCAATCTCACTGTACCAGTACTTTCTTTTCTCGTTCCAGTACTGATGGTCAAGAGTTGAATATGTTGTTGCAAAAGTTTTGGGAAATTGAGCATTCCAGTCTAAAGAAAATGAACATATGAACCCTGAAGACAAGAATGTGCACAATAGGGTGAAAAATACATTGATGTATGAGGATGGTCACTATCAAATTGGCATACCATGGAAGAAAGAGGTACCGGTACATGCTTTACCATCTGATAACTATCAGATGGCTCTCAGTCGTCTTGAGAGCACAGAAAAGAAATTAGCAAAGGATGAGACAATAGCTCAAGCATATGATGATATCATTTCACAGTATCACAGAAAAGGGTATATCAGAAAAGTATCTCCCGAAGAAAAGGCACATACTGGAAAGTGGTATCTCCCTCATTTTCCAGTTGTCCGTTTAGATCGTCTCACAACACAAGTGAGAAATGTATTTGATGCTTTGGCCAAGTACAAGGGTATTTCTCTTAATGAAGTTATCCATCAAGGCCCAAAGCTACAGAGGGAACTGTTTGATGTCTTGTTGAAATTTAGACGCAATCCAGGTCAAAATATCTCCAGATGATAGGCCCTATCTATCACAGGTTCCTTTGGTGATCCGTGAAACGAAATGAGCAGCCCACAGAGTATGAGTTTAGTAGAGTTGCATTTGGGGTGAATGCATCACCTTTTTTAGCTCAGTTTGTGAGTCAGGAAAATGCCAATAAACGTCAGGACGATCTTCTGTTAGCTGCAGAAACTGTGCAAAAAGCTACATATATGGATGATAGCATGGACGCTGTGGAGGATGGCAACACCGCTATTGAGTTGTACAGACAGCTGATGGAGCTCTAGAATAGAGCTGGAATGCGTCCTAGGAAGTGGCTTTCAAATTCTCACAAGGCTCTCAGTCAGATACCTATTTAAGACCGATTATCAGAAGTTAAGTTAGACAGTGGTTACTTCCCCTCAGCAAAGACACTCGGGCTCATGTGGATAGCTGAAAGAGATGTCTTTACATTCACTTCCAACTTACCTGACATGAACAACACAATCTCAAAAAGAATCTTCTTTCGTCAAATAGCAAAACTGTTTGATCCTCTAGGATTCCTTGCACCCTTCACTGTAAGGGCAAAAATCATCTTACAAAATGTGTGGATGGCAGGGTTAGATTGGGATGAGGAACTAGACAATGATCTGAAAGGAAATGCATTTCAGTGGCTTATGGAACGGGAAGATTTAATACACATTCAGGTTCCAAGATGTTTGCGTTGATGTCACAAGGTCAAAGAAACTAGACTACACAGCTTTGTTGATGCTTCTGAAAATGCATATGGTGCCATTGTGTATGCTGTGAATACTTACCAGAATAATGAAATCTCCAGAGTAATCATTGCTGCAAAATGACGAGTAGCACCACTGAAAGCCATTAGCAGTTCAAATGCTTTGGGGTGGATAAAGAACCATAGCCATACATTCAAACCATTTGTAGCAAATAGAGTTAGTGAAGTTCAAGAACTGACTAATCCGTGTCAGTGGCGGTATGTACCAACAGGTCAATTTCCAGCAGATATGTTGACCAGAGGAACAGCTGCATCAAAGTTGATTGACAATCAGATCTGGTGGTCAGGACCACTTTTCCTGGCCAGAGATGAAAGTGAATGGCCCAGAAATCTATCTGAAAGAGAAGACAGAAGGAAATGTTTACCAGAAACTAAAAGTCTGAAGGTAAACAAGATTATTACCATGATAGCGAATGACTCGTCCTGTGAAGAGTGGAGACTCAAAGCTACATGAAACTCAGATTGGAGAAGACTGACAAGAATCCAAGCATGGGTATACAGATTCTTGAACAACTGTGTTGTAGGGAACCTTAAAAGGATTCATGTAGAACTGACTGCAGAAGGAATTGAAACAGCACAGTTCAAAATCATAGAACAGATGCAGAGAGAAGAATTTCTAGATGAATATTCCTGCCTTGAGTAGGGAAAACCATTACCAACTAATAGCAAGCTGTTAGGACTACAACCGAAGCTGGATGAAGCTGGAGTGATGAGATCTGATGGACGATTGGCTTATGCTGAGCATCTTTCTCAAGATTCAAGGTTTCCGATCATCTTGCCATGAAGAAACTGGATCACAAGATGTCATGGGAACAGAGAAACAACTTGTTCTTCAAACTTGCTGCTTCTCTGCTCCCATGACATCTTCTTGTTCAATACAAAACATCAAAATGCACTAGTATGACGTTCTATATATGTATTCCACACCTGAAATCATCTTCCATGTTACTAGTTAGGCATAAGAGTTTTGGTCATGGAAATCAAATGCATGAGCAGACAGAAAAAGCCCTGGAATTAAAAAATCTGTAGTGGAAACAAGGAGACTGAGTGCCAACCTGACTGATTGTGCTGCGTGTCGAACACTGGGAACTCGTTTTAACCCTGGTGGCAGATTTTTTCAACATGATGAGTTTTGGCTGTCATTTTTCATTGGCTCTTTTACACTGTCCCATTATTCATATTTAATTTTGTTAAGCATTTTTGATTAACTACCCCCCTAACTTATTAATATTTCAAAGTTACTTTATTGTTTGTGAGCAGGATGTTGTGTTTTGATCACATTCTAACTGCATGGATCTTTGTTCATGCCTGGTATCAGCTTGATTGTTTGCAGGCTGTCTTGATATATTTGAGATATTGATGCTTCACTGTGCTGTACTCACCTGTTCCTCCATGTCCTCAACTTTGCCTGCTGCTGCACATCCCAGCCACAGGACCAACGCCAATAGTACAAGCCCCATCAGCAGATAATTCAGCATCTCTGGATAGAGGTGCAGGGACAGCAGCAGTCCCCCTGTCTGCACCGTGCACAGACTCACAGTACACACCACCTGATGACATATAACACTCACATTTATATGACAACAGACTGGGTTTTGTAAAATCCATCAATATTTGTCATCAACTCTCACAGCACCCTCAGCATGACCACTGAAGTTAAAACATAAGTTTTAAGTTTTTACAGTTACAATTTATACAAAATATTACATATCACCATAAAGAGACAGAATTGAGCATAATATTGGCTCAATCAGACTTTTGGTTACTGAGGAGGAGGTGCTTACAGAGCTGAAAATGCATAAATGGTCCATGTATTATTAGCCAGGTGAGGTACCAACTTCAGCTTTACTACACATTTACCAAATTTAATTTCATTCTGTGTGTTCAGTGCAATCAAAACAACACCAAGTTGGTAGTTTACATACAGCATCGAGAATAAACAAGGTTGAATCATTTGCAGTCAGAGACTTTTCAAATGTTACCCTTAGCCGACTTGATGAGCTGCAGGCTTGAAACATGTCACATACCCAGCATGTTAAACATGGCTGTCCTAGAACAAGAACATGTCGAAGGAGTTGGTCTCTCCAGCCTGAGGTATTAGTCGGTCGCAATGGACAATCCACATCTGCCCTAACAGCAGGTTTCCTATATACGGCAGCCCAATGCCTGACCCACTGGCTCTACAGATGTTCACCCCAACCTAACCATGAGTTGGGTGGGCATGTTTGTCACTGGTATGAAAGAAGACAGTGATCACAGATTGTATAATTATACTGATACCTTCTGCATGGACCAACTGTGTTTGGTTTCAAAGGACGGGCCTGAAGCAAGGTCAGGATCAGCTTTGCCAGCAAAGAACAGACAGTTGAAACTACCTCAGATAAAATAGCAGGCTGCAGTGTCCATAAGTCTGCTTCAGAAGCACTGGCATGAGACCCAAAGGAAAGAGCAGCAAGAAGTTATCAAAACAAAGAAAGGAGAGGAAGAGGAAGGAGGAAGATGAGGAGAAGATAGAGAGAGACATAAGTCTTGAAGAGCCACAGCCTGTTATTGGTGCTGAAGCGAGGTCTGACCATAATGAGGAGAAAGATGAGGAGTTAAAGATCCTGAGTAGCATAAAGATGCAACGGCAAAACAAAAGGAGAAGTATGAATACAACAAAGTCATTGAACAATTCACTTGTTGAGTTTTTCACAGAAAACAACTTGTACTACAACAACAAAGGGTCTGAGAACACTAAGTACAAGAATAGGCTTCTTGAAAATCTGGCCAGGCAACTCCACACCACTGGTAAGAAATCTCTGTGATCTACCAATCAACCCTTCTTATCCTTATCCATTCTTACCATGTGACTTAGTACTAGCATCTCTGAACACTTTCTTTCCATATTACTTACCATGCAAGTACTAGATAAAACACACAAAAACCCTGAACACGTTTCAATCAAATGAAGATTATTTGAAGAAAGAAATTGAAATAAAGAAATACAAAACAAGAAGACATGGTCATCAACATCCACCGCCACAGTGTTCTGTTCCTATTGGTTCCTGTTTTTTAACTCCACCACGACATTCATGTCCTGAAAACTTCATCTTCAATAACGTGTAATATGCACACTTGACACCCAAAGGATCACATGCTAAGCTTCTGAATGCTTTTCACTCAAATAAATCACCGGTGACTTACGAAATTGTAAGCCATAAAAATGAATTCAGAAGTTTTTCTAAAAAATCAGTTTTTTAAAGAGAAATTGGAAAGCAGATTTTGTATTTGAAAATCGGAGTAACTCCACCAAAATGGGGAGTGGTTGGCATCTCTGTATCCAGCCCCTCCTGCTGCCAAACCAAAGCAGCGGCTACAACTGCTTGATTACCTTCTTCATCCTGCAACTGAAGCTTTAGAAGCTTCTCTTGTATACGGGCATTATTCTTTTATGAACAGATGCAATTGTCTATCCATGAAAAAATTGAAAATAACAAACTTGGTTTGGATTGTTCGACAAATTTTTCAAGCAGATGTGATGATAATGGGACACAGAATTTGGGAGTCATGTAAAGCCATGGACATGGTAAATGTATCGTAAAACACTCTTTGGTTTGTTGTGTTTCTTTTTCATCATGGTATTCAGAGCTCTTTCAAAGCATCACGCCTCCGTAATTAGTCCAACACTGTTTGGTAATTACACTGATTGGATTAAGAGAGGCCAGTGTGGGAACACTTAAGTGTTCAGGGGCCACTCTAGGAAGGGTAGTTAACAAGGCATGAAAACTCAGGGGCCACTGTGGGAAGGGCCGCTCTGGGCATCAATTGAGACAATCATAACTGACGCCAGTACATAACATGGCCACACAAGCCACCTAGTTTTTACATACAAATGCCCTGCAGTGAACATTGAGAAATGAAAGTGAGAACTCCTACCTAAGACAACCATGGATGAGATGGTTAAAGATGTTCAAGTCTACATACAATTGAGTCCAAGGCTATGTACAGGCACAGTTGTAGGAACACATAATTCATAGCCAGCTTTGTAATGTCACTAAACATCATTGAAATACAGCTTTGTATTGTAACTAAAGATAATTCATAGCCAGCTTTGTCTTGCTACAATATAATACTGCCAGTTTTATACTGTGACTCAAAATAATTAAAATAACGGCTTCATTTTGTCAAGACACTAAAACAATTATAGACATTTTGTACTATACTTACCTCCAGCAACTGATGGATATTCAATGGCTGACCTTTCCATGTGCATTTTCTGTGACAAAAATATTGAAGTTTATAAAAAAAATGGTGTGAGAACATAGTTAAAAATGACAATGCAAGTTATGCTATAGTTGTTACTAATACATCACTAGATCTCACATATACTCAGTGAAAAATATAAGAGAACACTAGTTCAATGCAGCATTTGTATAACAGCAATTTTAAGGGCATCAATAAGAGATGGAGATAAAAATTTCATTGCAACCAATAGCTTGGCTTTGCTGTTGGCTACTTGTGTCAGATTATGAATTACAAGAGCTAGAATTTATTGCTACTCTTCTTGGAGTGCTTGAAACAGTTGATTTACAGTTTTAGGTCTTTGTCTTCCTCATTTCCCCCAAATGTTCCATAACTGTTCATTAGCATTCAAGTCAATACTCTCTAAAGGCAAGGGTAGGACTCAGATGAAGCATTGGTTTAAACGGTCCATGTTCAATCCTGCCATGTTTGGCCTGATGTTATCTTTTGGGAATTCAAAGTCTGGACCTTCCTGTATGAAAATCAGGAGTGCCACCAGATCAACAACTTTGGTTATGTAATGCTGAGCATTTACTCAATCATCCAGACGAATCAATAGTGTCGGTAAGAAATGCCTCCACAGGCCATGACACATCCTCCTCCAAATCTGACAATTTCTTGAGTGGTAGCCTGAGTAAGATGCTCATTATGGTCTCTCCATATTAGCTACCTGCAGTTGATATCATGACTGTGTGTATGAGAGAGAGAGAGAGAGAGAGAGAGAGAGTGTGTGTGTGTGTGTGTGTGTACACTCTCATGATATCAACAGCAGTTCATATAGTGGAAGCCCTCTAAACCAGCATCCCTCCAATCCGGCATGCTCTCAATATTGGCACTAGAATTTGGTCCCGGCAGAAGCTAGTTAATTTATGATCATTTACATGCCCTCTAATCCAGCGTCAGTCTATTCCGTATTTCGGCACAACTGACACCGCCCAATTGACTGTTTGTACAGTAATTAATGCTCTCTAAACCAGCATCTGGTATCTCGGCTCTCCTGTTGATTGGCTGAAGTGGATTACCATCGGCATTTAGCTCACTGATGTTGCCTGATAAAAAGAGTATGGATAAGGATTAGACCTAAGTAGGGCAGGTAAACTGGTGAGTGACACGTGTCACTTGTATTATAAATCCTTTGTCGTGCGAATGAAAACAGTAAATTTGGCAAAATTAACACACTTACGCATGATAGGTTTTTGACTACCCACAGTAAAAACGTGCCCATTTCTGGCCCTATTTTGAAAGAGAAAGCGATTTAGTTTGCTCCAGAATTAAATGTCATCGAGTTTAAGGCATCAGATGGTTGGCTGGCATGTTGGAAGACACGATTCGACATCAAGCAGGTCAAAGTGAGCGGCGAAAGTGCCAGTGTAGAACAGAGTGATGTCCAGCCTCCCGACTTTGATTGATGGATATGCGTCTGAAGATGTCTTTAACTGCGATGAGACTGGTTTGTTTTTCCGTGCTTTACCGGATGTTATCTTTATTGATGAATAAAGAATACGATGACTATCAACACGTTGTTCAGTTGTATTTTATGGCACACGGAAGATCATTCTCAAGTTGAAAAGGGAAAAGTTCTCTAAACCGGCACGCCCTCTATACTGGCATTTTGTGCCGGTCCCAACGAATGCCGGTTTAGAGGGCTTCCACTGTACAGAGTCGTGATAATGAGTGCATACATATTTGTGTGTGTTAGTGTGTGTATGTTAGTCTGTATGTAGCTACCTGCAGGTAATATCATGACTGGATATAGTATTCCCAGAAATTATTGAGAAAGTTGTTTCAGCAAATATCTAATACATGTATATTAACTATAGAAGTTTTACTTAAATGAATATGTTGAGATATGATTCTCTTACAGTCTAAGTGTCTTTTTAGTACTTTGTGAGACATCCTTGCCCTGCAATACACAACTGAATGCGCCTAGGTACACTACCAATCAAAGTTTGTAGGAAATCGTGTGAGAGCGTATCCCAATATTCCGGCACTTCTTTCTTCATATCCTTAATATTTCTAAGTCCTTTTTGGTTTATTCTGTCCTTCATTAGTCCCACACATTCTCAGCAGGTTTAAGATCTGGACTGAAGTTGGGCGATCCGTAGTACTGAACTTCCTTGGCCTCCCTGCCCCTGTCAATCCCAACTCCTGACTGAATATTCTTCAAATTCTGTATGCTGTAGATAGAGGAATGTCATGTCTACCAGCTAACTCTTTTGCATTAGTCACACCCCTTTCAAAATCATCTAGAACCAACTTTCTTTTCACTTCTGCTGTCAAATCTGCCATGTCAACAAAGGAAGCCGTCTGCTACAGCAGGGTAGATAACTCTTGATGTTGTAAGGTTAATTATTAAGCCTACAAGAGTTGCCTCACACACTGAGTACTTTACTACATAATGTAACACTTATCTTAAAATTCTATTATCAGTATTAGGAAACAAAGATTTTCTGAATAATTTCTGGGAAAACTGTATGTTTACTTCTGATGTTGAGTAGCTAGAAGTTGATCCACAGGCAAACTCTAAAGTACTGTCGGAAATAGAAAAAAACTGTTACTACAATTTATGTAGATAATATGTGAAAGTGTGAAATATTTGTTAAACTAAGTTCGGCCTAACTATAGTCTCAGTGGTAGGGAGATAGGAAACATAAAAATTGGACTTACGACTCAGTCCAAATCGACTTGTTTGGAACAGACAATGGCTTTATGCAAATTAGAGGGCGATGATATTGTATTACAAAGGACACTTTTTATATACCCATTTTGAAAGTAGACTTAGTTTCATTATAAACGATAGCTAACATAAACAAAATAATAACTTTAATACCGAAACTATTAAGGATGTAGCTACCATGGAGTCTCACTATCACTATAAAAAGAAACAGGTAGGAGGGGTCGTCTCAAAAGCAAACCAAGGACGGGTGTCGGAGATTGGTTTGGGGTCGAGCTGGGGTATAGAGATATCAGCTAAGATAAGATGATCCTTCAGGAGAAATAAACTGGGGAAGTAAACGGCATGCCATAACAATTTACAAATAATATCCAGTCCTGTCGATCTTCGGGTGGTCATGTCACCTATATATTGTGAGACATTTAATACGATGACTGATTATGCTTTTCTACGGGTATCATACTCTTTGACATATCTGAACATAAATTTTATGAAAGAAATACACGTAAGATGTGAATCAATAGATGCGACATAATTCAACACACAAGAAAAGGCATCAAATATCTTTGAGATGACCCCTTGTACCTGTAGGCAGCACGTGGATTTCATGCCAGGTGAGTTGATGGTCCGGCGTCATACCTGGCTGAGCAACCTAATTGCCATGTATAGTCTGATCTATTGTTATTCATATTTTTTCTAAGTTTTGCCCAATTTTATGAGTAAACATGCTTTTCTGGATATCCTATTATGCATCCCACTGAAAGCCCAGTTAGGCCGATGTGGGTTATTTCGACATATACTATTTGCAATTGTGTAAATTTTAGGGATACAGAGTAATAGCCTAAAAACAGTTTTTTTCTATTTCTGACAGTACTTCAGTGCAAATAGGGTTGCGCAACAGAGAGAAAAATGACCATGAAAAATAACCCAGTGAGGAAATGGGTGTCTGCCTATGATGGTGTGGATATTATATTTCGACATTAGAAATATTTTTCAAACCAAAGCAAGGGAAGTACGTAGCCAAACTTTGTTCGCTTCACGCGCATATAGGAAGACTGATAATTTTTCTCTGTTGCGCAACCCTATTTGTGCTACAGTTTGCCTGTGGTTGATCTCATGACTGTGTGTGGTAGTGAGTAGCATGTGTGTGTGTTAGTAAGTAGCTACATATATATACTTCATGACTATATATATATACTTCTGTTGGTGACACTCACTGTCATGACTGTTGTACAGTCTCTACATTCATACACTATTAACAAAATCCATATCAAAGTGAAAATTATCTGATAATATGCAAACTCATATTCCAGTCTAAGTAAACTTAGGCTCAGTATTATTCGTTACACTGCTATACTGAGTCTAACAAAACCTTGTAGAAGGTCGCGTCAGCTAACCTTTTGGACTGACCAATCAAAACACAGCTTACCAAATCGCAAAAGTTAACATTCGCACATACTGTTTGAACCTTTACCTAAAAAACTTGAACGATTCCGAATGCTATTTTCCGCATGATTGCTTCCGAGTATACACGCAATGAGAAAACAGTTGCTGAAAATAGCGTTTTTGTCAATATTCAAGGATGTCATCTTGCCAAAATATAAGCAAATAGTAACCATGTCATTAGAAACCCACAAGCGTATATACTGCAGGTCAAATATCTGTGTTTTGGGAGGATTTTCGTTTAGGTTCTTGAGCGGCATATAGAAGTTGGTATTCAAGTATAAGACAAAATGTTATGGATGTCAACTTCTTCTTTATTGTATACACAACGTTTCTGGGCTATTCCTTGCCCCTTCGTCAGGTGAATGCTCAATAACAGATATACAGGATATATATAATATACTAATAATGTACATGAACCAGAGTGATTTTAAGCATGTATATACAATAAATAGGGGATTATAAGAGGATTATAAGATGAAAGAGACTAAAATATACAAAAGTAGATATGGTGTTGTTACAGTGGATTAAGTGAGTAAATGATAGAAGCCAATGATTTTCGTTTGTTGATAGATCAGTGTCAGCGACCAGGGAAGAGAAAATCCAAAAACCGTTTTTTAAGTCCCACCGAACCCTAACCAGTAGTCGTTGTCTGATTGGTTAAATCCATTCGGCCGTCTCACGTTTGATTGGACGGTCATAGGTCGCTCAAAGGTTAGCTCATGCGACCTTCTACTAGGTTTTGTTAGACTCAGTATAGCAGTGTAACGAATAATACTGAGCTTAAGTTTACTTAAAGGAAAACCAAGCTGTATGGATAGTCAACTTCTTTATTGCATTCAATGCTATAAAGAAGT